GCCAGGACTGGAGGAGGAAGATAAATGATAGTGACATCTGCGGACTCTTGCACTCCTCTGTTGGTAATTAGTGGAGCAAATAAGGGAAATCAGTAAGGATAGAGGGACCTCAACAGCATCATCAACCAGTGTGACACAATTTGCCCCACCCACTTCTATGAAACACTGCTCCTATATGACAGAATGCACAGTCTGTTCTAGGACACACTGAATATTTGCCAAGACAAACCTTATTGTGGGCTATCAAATAGTCTCAGTAAGTATAAAATGGCTGAAATCATACATTATATGTTCCTGATCATAACTTAATTAAATTAGAAATCAGTTACAAACATATATGAAGACCTTCAAATAAATGCAAGTTAAACACACTAAAATAAACTGTGCATCAAAGAAGTCACAGAGAAGACAGGAAACATTTTAACTTACTTGCAGTGCAGATGTATTTCATGTGTAAAGTATGCAGCTAAAGCAACACTTAAGGTAAATGTATACCTTTAAGTGCTTATATTAGAAAACAAGAAAAGTTTAAAGTGCACAACCTAAACTTTCATCTTCATAAACTAGACAAAGAAAGTAAAATCAACCCAAAGACATAAAGAAAGAAATTAGGGGAAGAAAACATTAACATGGTATTGAAGTATGGTAATCACTGAAACAAAATCAATTAAAGATATCTAATCAAACAAAAAACTAGTTCTTTGAAAAGATCCATAAACTTACCTGAACCAACCAAGGTAAAAAGGAGGAAAAACCACAAATTACCAATGTCAGAATGAAAAAAGGAACACCATCACTATAAAGCCTATAAACTATTTATCACTATAAATCCTATAAACATTAAAAGTATAATAAGGGAATTATTATGAATGAGTTATGCTAATTTAACAATTTAGAAAAATCAGCACATTTTCTGAAAGTACAAATTACCAAAACCTACACAAGAGTAAAAGTCCTAATAACCATACATCTAGTAAAGATACATCCTGCATTCTCTTGATATGCAGATTGGGAGATCTGAGGCTAGCTCAGGCAAAAAGTGATCAAGACTTCATCTCAGCCAGCACGCTGGGTATGGTGTGTGCATCTGTCACCCCAATTACACAGAAGTCATAGATAAGAAGACTCTGGTCTGAGGCCAGTCCTGGGCAAGGAACGTGAGACTCGACCTGAAAAATAACCAAGGCAAAGAAGGGCTGGGACTGTGGCTCAAGTGGTAGAGCACTTGCCTGGCAAGTGGGAGGTCCTGAGTTCAAACCCCAGTACTGCAAAAAAAGAAAAAAATGGCCATAAAGAAAACTCAAGGCCCACTGATCTCTCACTGGTGAATTCTATAAAATATTGTATAATACATTTACGGAAAAGTGGGCATGAGCTTTTCACAGAGTCTTCTAGAGAGTCAGAAGTTCCTTCAGGAAGCTGTCTTGGTAGCTAGCTCTCTGTTTTTGTGTGTCTAGAAATGTCTGTCTTTGGCTCATTCTGAAGAAGCAGGCATGGTTGAGTCCACAGCTCTGGGTTGACAGGTAATTTCTCTCATCTGGTTGGCCACTGATGTGAAGTTGGGGTCCTGTGGAGGCATGGACCTTTTCCTCCTGTGCAGGCCTCCTCTGTGTGCTTGGTATTCAGCAGCTTCAACATACTATGTGTGGGTGTGCCTGCTTTTCTCCTGGTTCTGAGACACCGTTTTATTCTATGCGGCTTGCACCATTGTCCCTTTAAATATTATCTCTTCTGGTTATCGCCTTTAGAGTCACAATTTTAAAACATCTTAGAATTTCCCATTTTATCTTCCATGCCTTCTTAGAATGCCCCTCCCTCTGTCTCTACTGTCTGGGTGGTGTGTTCAACTGAGTCCTGTAGCCCATGAGCCTGCCCTCCAGCTGCACCTAATCAACTCTCTGACCCACTGTCTAAGACTAGCTTTTCCTTTCAAGTCTATCTGTTTGTTTCTAATTGTCCATTGTTGGTCGGTCATTTTGTTTTACCTGTTTTATATTCAGTCTGACCGTTTCATCTTCTGTGGCCTTGGGTGTCTGTATCATTTACTTTTCCTGCTGACTTCAGTCAGTTGTGGTGACTGTTTTCTTGTTCCTTGATCTGGGTGTTGTGCCACCGCTTGCTTTTGACTCTGAGGAGACTAGAGGCTGCCTTGGGGCTAGGAAAGCATGCTACAGAGAGTCTTCCCTTCTCCTAGTGCTGACTTTGTGGCCTTTTGACCTGAGTGCCAGGCTGTCCTCTACACTCTATTCCTGGCCTTTGCCCAGCAGTCCTTAGGAGCTCCTTTCCCAGCTGCCTCTGGGGCTTCTTCTCTGTCCTGGCCCCAACTCCTCCTTGCACTGGCCCTAGGTCAAATGTTTTGGTTGCAACTTGAAGAAGTAGGAGGGGAAAACTTTTTAGAAGGGCAGTATCTCAGAGAGTGTACCCGTTCTGAGTGAAGAATGGTGCCTGGGTGGAAAGTATCCTCTTAGGGTACCAGAGGTGGGCATTTAGGTGGCACTGGCTGCATACCCTCCTCCACGGTTCCAGTGAAGCATGAGTAGAGTAGAGCTGGGTGATTGTTCGGTCCCTCCCATTACCCTTGGCCTTCCTACACACAGTGCTGCCTACTGCCCAGCCCTGCCACCACTTGCTTGTTACTAGGAACAGCAAGCATTGTCATGATTGTCCTCCTGCTGCTGACCACATCCTTCTCTTCCTCTGGAATTGTCAAGCCCAGCACAGCAGCCCCTGGATACGCAGCAAACACAACCAGTTGAAGTAATACCTGCGTCTCTCAGCACAGGTACTGACCTGCATAGTTTGGCCCAGGTGTCCCTCACCCATGGCACAGTGCACATCAGGACCACAAACTCCATGAAGCATCCTCATTGTGACCTCTATCCTTGCTCAGCTTTGTCTCTACAGGCTAAAACCGGTTCAACTGCTTGAATCACTAGGAGTCATGTGAAATGCAGGTGTGTAAGTTTGTTGTTTCATCAACAAGCTAGGTCAGAATCTGACCCTTCTTACACTTCCACAGGTACCTCTTTGGCCTTTTGGGGTAGATGCAGGGGCCTTCTCTTGCTGCAATCTGCTCAGAGCCAACCCATGACCCTGTCCAACAACATGTCCAGGAGGGAGAGGAAATGGGCATGGTGCCCACAGGGTCTTCATCAGCCTTACCGATGGGTTTGCAGGCTGAGCATGCGGCTTTGTAAATCTGGTCTTGCAATTGTCATCACTTGGCTACAGCCTTTAGTCCCTCTGTTTGGGTTCAAATCCATCCTGATACCTTCCTGTGATCTACCTTTCAGTTCTGAAATCCTGGTAAGGTTTACTCTCCTGACATCCTGGGTCTGTTAATCCCAACCCTAGACTCATAGGTCTGGTTTTGTGGTCTTCAGCCTCCCCAGCAGAGGGCGTGAGGTTCTGTGTGTGTGGCAGGTTGGCGAGTGTTCGTTACTGGATATACTCTGTGTCCTGGTGCACAGGGAAGCTTTCAGGCAGGATTGTGCTCCATACTCCCAAGTTCCTCTGGTGTTACCCTCCAGGAAACGCTAGGAAAAACTTTCAACCATGGTTTCTCAGCTCTCCATGGCAACCTCAGGACTCATGACCCTATGAGTTTGGCTTATGTTCAAGAATTTTCAAGGATGATAGGATAGCAGGTGTCAGGAAGTGGGCCTGGGATCTGACTTTGGAAGCATCATGGGTGGAGGATTTCAGCCAGTCAGAAGAGTGGTTTACCAAGGCCCCTTAGCATAAGGAGCTGTGTCCTCCATGTCTGGGCTGTGGAAGGACTGGGATGCTGTTCCCTGACTGCCTCCATCCCAAAACTGTGCCCAGCCCAGGCTCAGATGCTGGGCGGGGGGGATGGAGAGGCCCTGGCCCAGTTCTCTTTCTTTCATTTCAGCCATGAGGTGAGTGGCTTTGCTCCACTATGCATTCTCTACCATGATAGGTACATTACAGGCCCCGAAGCAATAGGTTCCCCAAACCATCAACTGAAACCTTCAAACCTGAGCCAAAATCCACCTTTCCTCTTTGTTAGTTGATTACCTCAGGTATTTTATCACAGTTACAGAAAGCTGACTATCACAAGATTGGGGTCCTTGAGCTCAGGACCGCGGGAGGCACCTGCTTGTGTCAGTAGAGCTGTTCCTCTGTGGGAAGGGGCAGAGTAACGGCCCCTGTGGCTATGGCAGTTCTACGGTAGTGCTCTGTTTCCCACCACTTCCTGCCAGCAGTACGTGTGCTGGGTTCTGGGATCAGCAAGCACTACCCTTGGTGCTGCTCTGGTGCTAACTGCTGGCTTCTGAAGCCTCGGACCATGTCCCTGTGAGTCGCCCCCTCTTCCCTTGCCCAGGCACCCCTCCCCAGCTTGCAACCATAACAGCGTCACAAGCATCTGAAGAAGAATGTGTGTCTCCTGCCCATTAGTACACACCCAAGCACCTCTCCACTGCATGGTGTCCAGGAAAGGTTCAAGGACAGCCTCCAGTATTCATGAGGAACGATAGCCTTTATTCAAATGCAAAGAAATCAGTAATATGAAGCACTGTTTCCAAACTGCCCCTTTACTTCTTGTGTGGTGGCTCCCGTTGGATGCTGGGAGCAGTGCACAGATGGCAGCCATGCCCTGGGAGTGGATGCAATGGCAGTGGGTCTGAGGTATCTGACAACTGTGGATGAGGGGTCCTGGGCTTGGGGTAGCTTCTCACCGGTGCTGGTGTGTGTGTGTGTGTGTGTGTGTGTGTGTTCTCTGCATCAGAAGCAGCCTCCTGGAATGCTAATAAATTACAAGGAACATAATTTAGGCCAGTGTGGTGAGCCTCAGGGATTAATGTGCCTGTGGAAGGAGCCTGTTCGAAGATGTCCTCCCTGCCGAAGGTCCTCTGTGCAGGGAACATCTGTCATCCTGGCCTGAGGTTAGGAGTGATGCAAAACCGCCCATGCTCCTGGGTGCTGTCTGTGACCCAGACCTGAGCCAAAGGCTCAGTGCGGTCCACGGGGCTGGGGGCTCTGGATTTAGACACAGTTATCAGGGATGCACTCTGCCTCTTCTTCAAGCTCAGGGCAGGGGGTCCCGTTGTTGGCAGGTTGGACACGGACATAGCGAGTTCTGCTCTTGGCTCCCAGCTTCCCACATGGACCTCCACATAGTCCCCAGGATGACCACAGGGAAACCTCACAGTCCAGCGGTGTTTCTGGAACTGGAGCAAGCACAGGGAAGACCCAACACATGAACACCTGTGTAAAGAGGCACCTGGTGGGAACAGAAGGGAAGCCCACCCAGGTGTGTGTCCCTCTCTGGGGACTCTGCTCCGTATCAATCTGAAGGAAGCACACACTGCCTCAGTGGGCACAGAGCAAGCTGCACAGTAGGTCTCAAAGAGACCCACTGAACTCGGGACTGAGACTGCATGGTGTCCTGGGCTTTGAGAAACAAACTCCTGCCTGCCTGGTGGCAGCTTGAACCAAGGGTCCTTGCCAGCTGGGGAAGGAGGACACAGCAGCCATGGAAGCCACTGAGTGGCGTGCGTCTGGCCCAGGCCCAGCCCTGCTATAGCACAGACCCTCATAACCAGCATTTCCAAAGGCCTTTGGGTTGTGCCCCCCTACCTCAGCTCAGATATTTTCGGTATCGTTCTTTTTTCCTATGTTGTCTCTGTTTACATCGTATTCATAAATCTAAAAGCCGTCAGTTTTCCTGTGATTTCAGCTGCTTGGGAGTAGGAGTTTGGAGGATCACAGCCCCAAGTCAGCCTGGGCAAAACCTTGAGACCCTAGACGAAGAACAAACTAAGAACAGTATATCTGGGGACGTGACTCAAGTGGTAAAGTACTTCCTTAGCAAACTCAGGGCCCTGAGTTCAATGCCCAGCACCTCAAAAAATTAAAAATCATCAACGTTTGGTTATGAGTAAATCACCTGTTAAATTCCATTTCCAAAAGTAAACGAAATAGCTCTTCTGTATGCCATATGCCAAACCAGTCAGTCAGATATTCCTCCACGGCCAGGACCCAGAGGTGGACCAGCCCTCACAGGAGGCCCAAAGCCTGGCCTTGGCCGCTGCTGCACCCTTGAGAACAAGGTGGCTCTCAGACAGAGGCAGGGCAGTGGCTTCTAACAAAGGACTTGATTCTTACATGTCCTGCCCTCACTGCTAACCAGGTCCATGGCAGCTGGTAGATGAGACTCCAGAAAAAAGTCAAAAATGAAAAGTTTCAGGAAAGAACTGAGTGATGGGGGCCCAGAGGTCCAGGTATAGTGCCTGGAATGTTCTAGCAGCCCCAGCCATGCTCACACCTGGAGCAGCCCTCTCCACAGCAGAGAGAGTGGTGGGACAGTCTGCAGAGACCTTTGGAAGCTGAGGCTTCAGAGACAGACATATCCTAAGCTGCATCAAGAGCTTTGCCTGAGAGCAAGAGCTCCAGGTAGCCAGCCTGGTAGGATACCTGAGCCCCCATCTGCCACATGGAAGCTTCCTGACTGTAACATCGAGCAGTTGGAGCCCCCTGGTCTGTGACATGAGCACTTGCAGCAGCTCTGAGGACTTCTGCATGCTGCTGATGCCTGTGAGGAGGAGGCCTGGGACAAGTGGCACCCAGCATGTGATCAGGAGGCGAGAGAGGAACCAGGGTGGGTCTGATGGGAGCATACTGGGTGACACCCACCATGGGCCAAGCAGGCCCTCAGGGTGCTGAGAATAGTGGGAGAGACTCAAGTGAGCAATGCCAGGTGACATTGTGGCAGGTGGCAAGTGCCATGGAAAGAGCCACAGGGCACAAGGGAATGAGGCAAGGCAGTGTCAGGAGAGTTGATGTGAAAAGCCTGGGCTCCAGGAAGGGGTAGATATGCAGCCCTTTTCAGGGCTGTAGGGCACCTTGGATGCATTTGGGGCAGGGGTGCCATGTTGTCCTCCTCAGATGGTATTTGGTAGAAAGGGGTCAAATAGCTCCTGTGCCAGCTAGTGATGGGTGGAACTCTAGAATTCCTGTCACCAGCTCTGAGTTACAGTTCGCTGGCCCCATCCACCCCCACCCTCTCTATGTCCCTTCTCTAACTCAGCCCCTGTCTGCTGTCCCTACAACGTACCCTTTGCTTACGGCATGCTTCCTCCACCCCCAGCTCAGATAGTTTCGGTATCGTTCTTTTTTCCTATGTTGTCTCTGTTTACATCGTATTCATAAATCTAAGAGCCGTCAGTTTTCCTGTGATTTCGGCTACTTGGGAGTAGGAATTAGGAGGATCATAGCCCCAGGTCAGCCTGGGCCTGTGAGGGGATGAATGGGACAACTGAAAAAATCCTCACACCTGTCCCTTCAGCTGTGATATGCAGGTCACCCTGAGCATATTTCTGACGGGCATTGCTGCTCAATTATCTCCTCATTATTTACCTCTGCCCTGTGGTATAAGTACTGCCAACTATAGATGGTATGGAAGAATTAAATCTCCAGTGCTTAGATCAGCCAAACCCTAAACTTTAAAAATGGCCAGCATCTCATAACGACTGTCGTGAGTTCCCCCCCTTGAAGTTGGTCAGCCTCAGGCTCCTAAGACCCACAGAGTGGGGGGTCCCTTAGGAACCTGAGAGCCACTCCATACCGGTAGGGGTGGCGTTAAGGATGAGGGCTCACCTGGCACAGAGTGGGACTCACTCCATGTGCCTCATACAGAGTGGGTGCTGGCATGTGTGTCACTGGGTGACACATGCCCCACAGGCTCCAGGACACACAAACTTGACCAGTGGTGGATGTTAAGCTCCCCTCCAAACCTGAGCGCCTGGTATCTGGAGCCAGACATGCTCATCATGGGCTACAGTGTACTTCCCAACCCACAGCCTCTGTCTGCAGCCCATGTGCCTGCAGCATGCTGGGGTGGGAAGCCTGGATGTTACCTGAGAGGCTGTCGACGATCTCATTGCCCCTGCTGGCCAAGTCTGGAGCAGGTGGAAAAAAGGCCCTGGGGCTCTGCCGGAGCCGTACCAGGGTCACTCTGGCAATGGGAGGCAAGGACTTCAGCCGTGGGTAGTAGAATGAGTTGGCTGGGTGACTGGGAGATGAAGATGTTATCTGGTTGGAGGAAGAAGGAGAGTTGGCAAGGGGTCCAAGAAGGCCACCTCTGTGAGTGTGTATGGCCCAGAGTGCAGCAGGACAATGCCAGAAAACACCCCAACCCCACTGCAGCAATGCCCAAGCCTAGTGCAGTCAGGTACGCTCATCGTGGCCTCTCCCTGGACCCTGGGCCATGGAGTACAGGGCTTTGGCTGAGACACCACAAAAACAGCTCCCACTCTGTGCTCATGCACCAGGCAGAATTGCATACTCTGCACAGCAGCCCTGCAAACTGGGGGTCTTGGAAACAGACCGGAAAGGGGGAGCCTTTACTAGACCGCCACCCTGATGTAGTGCTGCCAGCTCCCAGGGCAGGACTGCAGTGACCTGTTCACTATGGACACCAGAAACAGGGCCATTTACAGGAGTAAAAGCTGGGGTCCCAGAGGTCCATCGCAGAGTGCAGCACTGCCTCCCCTAGCCACCACATTCAGAGTCCAGAGCACCCTGCACAGTGGAGGGTGATGGGGCAGTGGGCCTGTAGACCACTCACCTCGGTTACCGTGTCCTGTGGGATGGTTGCAAAGTTGGGGGAGGAGAAGGTGAAGCCACTGTCTGTCCCTGCATCATGGGGGTAAAGGTCCAGGGCTACCTGCTCCTTCCAGTGTCCTCCCTCACACAGGTCCACGCTGTCGACGCCCACAAACCAGTCGGGGCTGGGGACGATGCGTACCACAAAGGACACCTGGATATAGCCAGGAAGCTCAGCCCACTGCAGCTGCAGGGACATTTCTCCCACACATACTGCTGGCCACAACTTACCAGCGAGTGCCTGGGCTGCACCTCCAGCTCCGTGGAGGTCTGACCAGTGCCACTGGGGATGGCAGGGGCTGAGAACACCGCGTGCACACTCTGGAGCTTCTCTCCTGCTGCCTCAATCTCCTTCATCAGTGCCCAGGCCTCGCCGCGCTCTGCAAAGTCCCTCAGCCCATTGCTCGCATACTCGTTCTTTCTCCACATGCTGTAGTCAGAGCTGTGAGCTGCCCCTGTGTGGACGGCGCGCTGCATGAGCAGCCAGTTGGGACCAGCAGCAGGGCTGCAGGCTCAGATCCCCACTAACCCCCCCATGAACACCATGTCCCCCTTCCCCAAACATCAGCTCCCCCGACTGAAAGGCAAGGAGCCACATTCACTCTTGTCACATGTGAGCAGTGGCATCTTACATGTACACATTGCCAGGACACTTGCTGAGTGACCATGTCCAGCCAGCCTTCCCCATGACTGTGTCTACCCTGCCCTTTACCACCTGCCAGCATACAGTTGGTGCTTAGCAGTTGTCTCATGGATTGAAGTCTGTTGGGTGAGAGTGCCCCAGACTGAAGTGCTGCTTCCCATTCTGTAGCCCAGATGGGGTGGGTCATTGCCCTGGGCTGGGGAGAGGGAGGAGCTGCCCTTACCCAGCAGGGAGGACCACTGCGCAGGGGGCCGGAACAGGGGGTACTGCTTGGGGAACGCTGTTTGGCTCCACTTGCCGGTGAAGGTGATGCTGTATTTGGCCAGAGGCCGGGCTGTGCAGACAGACTCTTCCCCCAGCGGCTGGCCAGCAGTGGAGCCCAGTGTGGCCAGGAGAAGGGTCCAGAGAGCCCCGCCTGAGGCAGTGGCAGCACTCAGGTTTTCCATCACCTACAGCAGAGGAAGAGTGGTGCCGACACCTTTAGTCCCCAGATGCCTCCAGCCCCCACAGCGTGGGGAGAGATCTGCAGGCAGGTGAGGTGCCTGTGAGTACACCCCCTTCTCCCCAAAACTCTCCTGCTGAGTTTTCAGCCATTAGGGAAGTGAAGTGCACCAGGTTACGAGGTGTGGCTAGGCGCCAGCACGTCTGCCAACACCTTAGGCTCACGGTTCCCAGGGTCACCGCCTAGAACGCAGAGCTCAGCAGGCTTGTTGCTCCCTGGGCAGGTTGGGATGCATCACACTTCTCCATGGCTCTCCATTGTCCCTCCACCATCACAGGATCCCAGGACTTGGCAGGTAAACTTGACGCACTAGCTGTGCCCTTGACTACACCAGCAAAGCTCAGGCCCTGGCTCATCCCCAAGGTGGGTCTCTTCTAGTGCTGCAGGTTTCTGGCTTGGGGGATAGTTCCAGAAGTCCTGGGATCCAGGTGCACATGGTACTCACCACTCACGGACAAGAGCAGCAGGAGGCAGACTGAGGCTTTGGGCAGCTGTGAGAGCTCAGAGTACCTCTGACCAGCCAGTGAGGTCCTAGCTCCCCCTATCCACGGCGCCCCACTGCCTGGTCCCAAAGAGTGGCAGATAGGAAGTAGGGCAGGAGAAAGCGCCTTGCCTGGAGGCGCTTGCAGAGGCTGTCACTCTCCACCCTCCCAACAGCTTGACTAGCAGACCTGCTCTGCTGAGCTCACTCCCCGCCCCTCCGGCCAGCTGCTGCCGCACCCCTTTCTTTGTCTTCCCTTCTCCCTCTCTCCGCCCTCCTCCCTCCCTCCCCTAACCAGCGTCTGGTCTCTGGATGGTGCTGTAAGGAGCTCTGTGCTCAGTCAGGAGGAGCCCAGGACCAGAGGCCACAGGGGGCCTGTTTGCCGCAGGTGTGTCCTGAAGGGCCCCATTCTTCACTTAACTTGAAGTGCGGGAAAGAAATCCCAGGACTACCAGCTTAGCCACCCAAAGCAGTTGCCCCTTTCCCATCATAGCCTAAAACTGCATAGAACCATGGTGGTCCATGCTGCTGGCCAGAGGGATCTGGAATGGGTCCCTTCCAGAGGGAATCAGCACCAGGTCAGAGGTGCTCAGGGACATGAGCCACTAAGAAGCACCATCCTCCCCAGGACCCCTCACCAGTGTGCCTCTCCTCGGTGCTAGAGGTTAGTGCAGGGGAAGGAGGCTGGCCTGTCCCCTGGGGCACTTCTCCTCCTTTGGACAGGCTAACAGATTCTGAAGTTTATTGCTGCTCAGTGTCCGGAAAATATTTACAGAACCAGTCATGAGGTCTAGGAACTGCGGAGGAAGAAGGGGAGTGGAGACATCTTGCTCAATCATGGATAGCCCCCCTGTTCACAGAATATCCAAGGAGTTTTTAAGCCTAAACAAAATACATTCTGGTTTTTGGAATCTGTTAATGTTTCACATATTCCGACTGAGACGGTGAGAGAGAATAAATAGAATCAACAAGCATAGACTGCAAACAAAAACAAATGATCTAACCTGTATTTCAAATAAATAACACAGCCACAGAAGGGTAGCTGAACACAAAATTTAGACTCCAGACCAAAGACAAATTCTACCCCAGTGCTTCTGAAGCTTTCTATCTCAGGACTGCCTTTTGCTCCTGAAAGTCTCTGAAGACCCCCAAAGAGCTTCTGCTCAAGTGAGTTATATCCATCCATGCTTATCATAGTCTAATCACAGCAAGTGCTTAGAAAACTTACTAATTCACTTTAAAATAACAAAATAAGGCATGTTATTATGTTGCATGTTAACATAAGTACCATAATGTTTTATAGAAGCAGTTCTATTTTTCAAAATGAAAACCTTAGAGCCAGGTGCCATGGCTCAAGCCTGTAATCCTAAACTACCTGGGAGGCAGATAGCGGGTGGATCGTGGTTTGAGACCAGTCCAAGCAAAAAGAGAAGCCACATGTCAAACCAAGAAAAAGCTGAACATAGTGGTGCATGTGCCTGTCATCCCAGCTACACGGGAAGTGTAAGCAGGAGAATATCATCGCAGGCTGACCCCAGCATAAAGGAAGACCCCCATCTTAAAAATAAACACCCCAAAAGGGACAGCAGAGTGGCTCAAGTGGTAGAGCGCCTCCCTCGCAAGTATGAAGCCCCGAGTTCCGCTCCCAGTACTGCCCCCCAAAACCTTTGGAATATGGCATGGTTCCACATTTGTACAAATCCTTTTATTCTCTGGCTTACTATAAGAAAGATGGACTCTCATATTTGCTTCTGCAGCTAATCTGATAAAATGTGCAGCTGAAGTCTGTGATGAAAGTCCAGATATCAGAAAAGGAATTTTCTTTCACCTTGTCGGATACAGGTGGCCTTTAGAGACAGCCTCTGAAAATCCCACAGTATGCTTGCCAGAAGACCAAGAGGAAAAGGACGCTTCTAAGAAAAGTCTCTGCTCCACACAAATGCTGATGTTGAATTCAGAGGCCCTTTCCCCACAGAGGCATGGGCTAGAGCTCTGCACCTGCTGTGTTCTAGGGACTCTGTGGGCCTCAGGAGCCACAGAGTTTTACTACTTGACCATGGAGTTCCAGATGAACACCGTGTCACTGGAGGATGGCTGGAGTACCAGCGTGGGCTCCTGCTTTTGTTCAAGCAGGTGACTAGGCTGTGAATGTGATATGCACCATCCCTTCCTAGCTGTGTCCCTCTCAGCATCTAGGAGCAGTGACCCCTGCAGCAGTGAGCAGGCCAGGCTCCTTCACCAAAAGGAATGTGGACTCCTTGGAGAAGAGGCTGATTACAGGTTTAGGGAGAAAATAAGAGATAGGTCTAGAATAACATCTCGTGCTGGGGCCAGGCTATGCTGTGGGCACAGTCCAGCTTCTGCCCCATGTCCAGTGGTGGCCTCAAGAGGCTCCTCTTCCAGCCCCCACCCAGGCCCACCTTGAGAAGGCTGTGCAGCTTGGGACTCAGCCATTGGGAACTGCAGCCCAGGTGCTCCAGGCAGGGCTGCAGCTGACATACCCAGAGTTGCCCCAGGAGGACTGGATGGGAGGTGGACAGGGAAGAACTCCCCATTGGTGGTGAGCGTGTCCCCAAGAAAGCCTGCCTGAGAAGGTTCTCGGACATGACAGGACATGGGAAGTTTTCTTTGCTGTGCTGAGAGAGAGGCACAGAGAGGCTTAGGGACAGCTGAGCTTAGTTTTTGGAAACTGCACCCTCCTCTCCTGGGTTGGGCTGGGCTGGACTGGGGTCTCATGCGGTTCTGGGCATCCTGCTGACCCTCAGCCACTAAACCAGGACACTGTATCCCACCTCCTTCTGAGAACCACAGGAGGGAACATTTATACGGTGTCCCCACAAACAAAAGCGTTCATCTGTGCACACAGGTATGGGTGTGCACGTTCACACACAGAGCAAATTTCTTCATTAAACAGGTGCTGAACACCTCGTGCATCTCAGGGATAGGGACATGGAAGTAACCCCAACATCCCAAGGTACAGGCCTGGGGTGGAAAGAATGCCTTCTGTGAACTGGATTCTGTCATCCAACAAGTGCTTGGTTAATTGGTTGACGCCAGTGCCAGGGTTCTCTTAGAACCAGACCTTTCTGGAGGTCACTCTGCAGCCCTGGCCTAAGATGGTTTCCAAGGGAGCATGGGCAAGGCTGTGGCTATGGGCTGTGTGTGTCTGCAGAGCCAGCACTGGGCTTTCTGCCTGTCCCCCTGCCCCAGCAGGCATCCCCTGTCCATTGCCTCTCTTGTCCCTACTGTGACTCAGGTTGGTATACAGTGTGAGTAACTGATAGGTCAACACTCCCAGGGCGTTGGTGATTTTTTTTAAGGTGTCTGTTAACCCAGACAAATTGGATGTTCAGGCAACCACAGGTGCTCTCAAGTGCCCTCCCCAAGTTGGGATGGAGGCTGGGATTGTGCTGCTCAAATTGGATCTGTGTGGGTGGGCATAGGGTCACATGGAGGTGTTTGTGAACTGCTCAGAGCAGGCATTCACAGGGACTCTTGTAAAGTACCCTCTGTCCTCCAGACCTGTCTGCCCTCCTGTTTCATCCACTGCACCTAAACTGTGGTCCCTTCTGTGCAGCCCAGGGTACCTTGGAGAGGTCTTGGGGTCCAGGGGAAAGGGAAGCCTTCTTTATCTTTCTGTTTGAATTCTGGCGTAAGAACTGCTCTCTTAGGTCCTTCCCACTGCCCCTCCCTGGGCAGAACCAACTCCCAAGCCACATCTGCTGACTCAGACTCGGAATCCCCGCCCACCCATGGGACAGGCGTCTCCTACAGAGCTCAGGCTCCAGGCTGCCCAAGGGGCTGCTGTGCATTAAACACTCACCCACACATACCACCCATGCTGGCCCACACAGGCCCATATTCATTTGCCTCATTGCTCACTGGCTCGTGCCAAGCACCATGGTGTGGTCCATACATGATGAATTTCTAAAGGCTGCTTCAACCCTGGGGCCTAATGTCCCAGGAATGAGACCACATGGTCTGACTCTCTTTCATCAACCCAATTCTCCTTTCAGCCCTTCACTGGTCTCCCTGTGCAGGGACTTCCAGCTTGCTCAGGCCCTGCAAGCTCCTCTACCCAAAGAACTCTTCTCATGCCTCCTCTCCCTGTCCCAAAGTCTCTGGGAGAGCACTTACGGCCCACCCAGCCCAGAGGAGCGCCTGGTCATGCCCGGTGGCGTGTCATGGCTTTATTTTCCCATCACGGCTCCTGCAGAGAAGGAAATCCATTCTGCCAGTGTAAGCAGACAAGGATTTGTTGCAGGGTGTTAAGAGGCTCATGGAGCCATTAACAAGTTGACTCAGGACTGGGCTTCCAGACACGATTTTCAGAGCTGCACAGCCACCAGGCTGCCTAGTTGGCTTCTGGCCCCACCTGCTCAGGAACCTACCCATGACAATCCCTGCCCTCCCCATGCCCACACCTCCATTGTGATCAGTTTTCACAGAGCACTTCTAATTCAGAGCCTGAGCCAGGTCCAGGAATTGTGTCCTGGGTTCAGCTTTGGGGCCTCTGCTCTCTGGGATAGCATCTACAAGGAAAGCCACAGGGCGTGAACACAAGCACCCACTCTTGTGAGCGTACCAGCTAAGTGTGACCACTGCACCTGCACCTGACTCCAGGAGCTTCAGGAGCACGAATTATCCCAAATTAACACATCGACTCTGCCAGCTGAGCTCACAGGGAGGCATGGCTGGCAAGATACAGATGTGGGATAGGATCTGCTGCTGACTGGCTCTACATACAGAGCTAGTCCACTGTGCGACAGGCCACCTCCATGAAATGTGGGCCTGTCTTCAGCATCTTTTACATTCATTGTAAAATGCCAGGACCTCAGAAAAGTGGCAGTAAGGGCTTCCAAGAACATCACCAAAGCAAGGAGAAGGGGGCAACAGAGTCCACAGATCCTTCAGTACCCTGAAAATCAACCAAAGGCTTGCAGCAGTTTGTGGGAAGTCACTGTATTTTAAAGAAAATAGGGTAATTTTGGTGAAAAAAAAAAAAAAGTTTTGTGGTGTATACCTCACCCCTTGCCCATTCTCCCTCTCCAG